GGGAGCTAAGCCGGAGCTAAGCCTGAGCTAACCCGGAGCTAACCCGGTGCTAAACCAGTGCTAAACCGGAGCTACGCCGGAGCTATGCCGGGGCTAACCCGGAGCTAACCCGAAGCTAACCCGGAGCTAACCCGGCCTCTCTCTGCTCTCTTTCAGTCCAACGGGAAGCGCTTCCTGCAGTGTCCCGCCGCCATGTCCGTCATGCACTTAGCCAAGTTCCTCCGGAGCAAGATGGACATCCCCAACAACTACAGGGTAACTACCCGGGGTCAGGGGTCAGGGGTCAGGGGTCAGGGGCGGTTTGGTGGTTCAGAGCTGGGGAGGCTGATGGTCTGGAGTTTGTCTTTTTCCTGCTGAGGGTGGGATCTGAGCCGGTCTTTGGGGGGTCTGAGTCGCACGTGCACGCCGGTCCTGCTGATCTTAGCGGCTTCCCGCTGCTTCCTGTTTCTTCCTGTTTCTTCCCGCTGCTTCCCTGCAACTTCCTGCTCTTCCCGATGCTTCCTGTTGCTTCCCGTTGTCTCCCCCTATACTTTCTGCTTCCTCCTGCTTCCTGTTTCTTCCCGCAGCTTCCTGTTTCTTCATGTTTCTTACCGCTGTTTTCTGTTTCTTCCTGCTGCTTCCTGTTGCTTCCTGTTGCTTCTCTCTGCTTCCTGCTGCTTACGGTTTCTTCCTGTTTCTTCCCGTTTCTTCCTGTTTCTTCCCGTTGCTTCCTGTTTCTTCCCGTTGCTTCCTGTTGCTTCTCTCTGCTTCCTGCTGCTTCCTCCTGCTTCCCTTTGCTTCCTGTTGCTTCCTGCTGCTTCCTATTTCTTCCCGCTGCTTCCTGTTTCTTCCTTCTACTCCCTGATGCTTCCTACTTCTTCCTGTTTTTTCCTGCTGCTTCCTGCTGCTTCCTGCTGCTTCCTGTTTCTTCCCGTTGCTTCCTGTTTCTTCCTGTTTCTTCCTGTTTCCTCCCGCTGCTTCCTGCTGCTTCCTCCTGCTTCCCGCTGCTTCCTGTTTCTTCCCGCTGCCTCCTGTTTCTTCCTGCTGCTTCCCGTTTCTTCATGTTTCTTCCTACTGCTTCCTCCTGCTTCCTGTTTCTTCCTGCTGCTTCCTGCTGCTTCCTCCCCTCCCACCACTCAACGAACTGAATGATATCATGAAATATTTTCTGTTTATTTTGCTTCCTTTCGCTCTCCCCAAACCTCTTCTGCATCAAATTCTGCGTTTCTTTATCCGTATTTTTCTGAATGCGGTGAATAGTTCATAGGAAAGTTTTTGCTTCTGTGGCCTTTTCACATCTCTGCTGCTTTAAATGAGCTTTATAACCTCACCAGGAACCTTCTAATGTCTTAGTTTAGACGTTTCCCTCCATGTGAGTTAAGCTTTGTGAGGTAAAACGGCCTTTTCCTGTGAGGCGTTCAGGCGTCTTCAGGATAAAATATGATGATGCTCCGTGTTCAGAGGCGTTTTCTGTGTGTTGCAGGTGGAGGTGTTGTATGGAGACGAGCCCCTAAAGGACTATTACACACTAATGGACATCGCCTACTTCTACGAGTGGAGACGAGTGAGTGACCGTTTCATTTGATTTAGTTTTAGATCATACAGTGGGGGAAATAAGTAT